TCTTTCTAATATTTCTTTTTTTTTTTTTTTTTTTTTTTTGAGACGGAGTCTCACTCTGTCGCCCAGGCTGGAGTGCAGTGGTGCAATCTTGGCTCACTGCAAGCTCCACCTCCTGGGTTCACGCCATTCTCCTGCCTCAGCCTCCAGAGTAGCTGGGACTATAGGTGCTCGCCAGTACACCTGGCTAATTTTTTGTATTCTTTAGTAGAGACGGGGTTTCACTGTGTTAGCCAGGATGGTCTCGATCTCCCGACCTCGTGATCCGCCCGCCTTGGCCTCCCAAAGTGCTGGGTTTACAGGCGTGAGCCACCGCGCCCAGCAATATTTCTTTACTCATGTGATCTTTATCTTTCATTCATAATTTTAATTATAATGTTTCTAAGTTTATGTTTTGACTCAAGTAGTGATCATTACAGGCCGTCTTTGGGAATGCAGAATTTTAGTTTCACAGATCCTAAATATTGGATTGTTTTTATACATTTGATGATTTGACACCCTACATAGAATGGTTTTTTAAGGTACTAGCAAATAATATATGAAGGGAAAAGAAAGCATTCTTCCTGCAGCATCTCGAATATAAAGATTTTGTTATTTAGTATTAGATTCTAAAAATTATTTTGTATCCTCTGATTTCTTATAGATAAAACTATGCCTACTAAAAAACAATGAAAATACTTTTTCAGAATATAAACACTATATATAATATTTGAAAATATTACAATCCATAAAAGTTAGAAGAAAATAATAATTAGTGCTTGATCTCACTATTCAAAGACACACCACTTTAATTTGGTGAGCCTCCTTTTAGTTTTTCATAGAGCTGTGATGCATGCTTAATGCATAATTGTGCATGTTGCTGCCTCCTCCTCCCAGCTTCCTGACGTGTTGTCTCAGGTCATCAGAAACTTCCAAAAGAAACAGCAATTTCTTTTTTTTTTTTTTTTTTTCTTTGAGACTGGGTCTCACTTTGTCACCCAGGCTGGAGTGCAGTGGCACAATCACGGCTCACTGCAGCCTTGACCTCCCAGGCTCAAACGATTTGCCTACCTCAGCCTCTTGTAAACAGCATTTTTATGGCTGTCTAATAACCCATCATATGAATATGGCTTAGACTGCCCAACTACAGGCTAATTTGGGGTTTTTATGTTTTCTTCTGTTCTTTGCCCATATAATGTGGCAGTGAATATATGTGGATAAAACACTCTTCCCACACTTTGGCTTATTTCATTTCAAGCTTCTAAAAGTGAAATTAATGAGTCAGAAGGCATGACTATAAGGCATGACTATATCGATTTTGTCAAATCGATTTCCTAAAGGGCAATTCATTATACTTTTTCACCGGCATTGAGGTAAAGTGTCCTGGGAGTAGGAGTGTTGAACATGTAGAAAGTCACTTCAGTTCTGGAATTTATCTTGCTTTGCTTTGTTTTGTTATACTTTTTTGTCCTCTCCTGATGCTCACCTAGGGTCACACATTGCCTCTGGTTGTCATATGTCTTTCGTCTCTTTCAATCTAGAGCAGGGGTTCTCAATTAGGGAGTGGGCATTGTCTCCTAGAGGACATTTGGAAATGTCTGGAGATATTTTTGATTGTCACAACCAAGGGGGTGGCTACTGGCATCTAGTGATTAGAGGCCAAGCATGCTGCTAAACTTCTCACAGTACACAGGGTGTTCCCTTGCAGCATAAATGTATCTGGCCCAAGACGTAAGCAGCTGAAAAGCCCCGATCTAGAACAGTCCTTTCACTTCCAGCCTGGGCGACAGAGCGAGACTCCATCTCAAAAAAAATAAAAGAAAATTGAAGTCAAAGTCATATAACATAGAATTAACCATTTTAAAGTATAAAATTTACTGCCTTTGGCCAGGCGTGGTGGCTTATGCCTGTAATCCCAGCACTTTGGGAGGCCAAGGAGGGCGGATCACGAGGTCAGGAGACCATCCTGGCTAACACGGTGAAACCCGGTCTCTACTAAAAATACAAAAAATTAGCCGGGCGTGGTAGTGCGCGCCTGTAGTCCCAGCTACTCAGAGGCTGAGGCAGGAGAATGGCGTGAACCGGGGAGGCGGAGCTTGCAGCGAGCCGAGATCGCGCCACTGCACTCCAGCCTGGGCGACAAAGTGAGAGTCCGTCTCAAAAAAAAAAATTTACTGCCTTTCAGTATATTCACAGTTTTGTGCAGTTACCATTTCTTTCTAGTTTCAAAACTTCTCATTACCCCAGAAGAACACCCTGCACCCATTAAGTAGTTTCCCCATGCCCCCTTCCCCCAACCCCTGGCAACCACTCATCTCCATTCTCTTTCTGTGGATGTTTGCCTACTCTGGACATTTCATATAAATGGAATCATATAATGTGGGCTTTTGTATCGGGCTTCTTTCTCTGAGCATGTTTTGAGGTTCATCCATGGGATAGCACGTGTCAGTACTTCATTGCTTTTGATGGCTGGATAATATTTCATTGTCAGCATTTGATAGGAATTTGGGTTGTTTCCACTTTTAGCTATGCTGCTCCGTACATTCATGTATGAGTTTCTGTGTGGATAGATGGTTCATTTCTCATGGTCTATACCTGGGATCAGAATTGCTGGGTCTTTTGGTGTATGTTTAACTTTTTGAGGAACTGCCAGCCTTTTCTCACAGCAGCTGCACCATTTTATATTCCTACCAGTAATGTACAAAGGTTCCAGTTTCTCCACATCCTCATCAACACTTATTTTCTACTTTTTTATTGTAGTCAGCCCAGTGGGCATAAAGTGGCATCTCATTGTGATTTTGATAAACATTTCCCTAATGACTACTGACTTCATTTGTATATCTTCTTTGGAGAAATATCTATTGAAATCCTTTGCCCGTTTTTGAACGAGGTTTGTCTTTTTATTGTTGAATTATAAAAGTTCTTTATATATTTTGCCATATATATAATTGTATATATATATAATTTATTTTATTTTATTTTATTTTATTTTTTTGAGACAGGGCCTCGCTCTCTTACCCAGGCTGGAGTGCAGTGGTGCAGTTGTGGCTCACTGGAGCCTTGACCTCCTGAGCTCAAGTGATCCTCTCACCTCAGCCCCCCCAAGTAGCTGGGACTACTGGCATGCACCACCATGCCTTGCTAACTTTTGTATTTTTTGTAGAGACAGGGTTTCGGCATGTTACTGAGGCTGGTCTCAAACTTCTGAGCTCAGGCAGGCAATCTGTCCGGCTCAGGCAGGCAATCTGTCTGCCTCAGCCTCCCAAAGTGCTGGAATTACAGGCATGAGCCACCATGCCCAGCCTACTTTATATATTTTGGACACTAGACTCTTAGCGGATACATGATATACAAATATTTTCTGCCATTCTATAGGTTATTTTTTTACTTTTTTATATTTATTTATTTATTTATTTTGAGATGGTGTCTTGCTCTGTTGCTCAGGCTGGAATGCAATGGCACATCTCCTCTCACTGCAACCTCCACCTCCTGGGTTTAAGCGATTTTCTTGCTTCAGCCTCCCAAGTAGCTGGGATTACAGGTGCGTGCCACCATGCCTGGCTAATTTTTGTATTTTTAGTAGAGACAGGGGTTTCACCATGTCGGCCAGGCTGGTCTCAAACTCTTGACCTCGTGATCTGCCCACCTCGGCCTCCCAAAGTGCTGGGATTGTAGCCATGAGCCACCGTGCCCAGACCTCTTTTTTATTTATTTTTTATTGAGACAGGATCTCACTGTGTCACTCAGGCTGGAGTGCAATAGCATGATCATTGCTAAGTGCAGCCTTGGAACCTCCCAGGCTCAAGTGACCCTCTTGCCTCAGCCTTCTGAGTAGCTGTGACTACAGGTGCACACCACCATGCCTCGGTAATTAAAAAAAGAAATTTATAGAGATGGGGTCTCACTGTGTTGCCCAGGATGGTCTTGAACTCCTGAGCCCAAGCAATCCTGTCTCCTCAGCCTCCTAAAGTGCTGGAATTATAGGTGCGAGTCACCACGCCCAGCCACAAAAGATTTTAACTTTGATTAAGTCCAGTTTATATTTTTGTTGCTTTTCGGTATAATACCTAAGAATTCTATTTTCTTTCTTTCCTTTTTTTTTTTTTTCTTTTTTCTTTTTTTTTTTTGAGACAAGGTCTTGCCGTGTTGCCCAGGCTAGGCTGCAGTGGCATGATCTTGGCTCACTGCAACCCCCACCTCCCAGGCTCGAGTGATCCTCCCACTTCAGCCCTCTGAGTAGCTGGGACTACAGGCATGTGCCACCACCAAACCTGGCTAATTTCTGTATTTTTTTTGTAGAGATGGTGTTTCACTGTGTTGCCCAGGCTGGTCTCAAACTCCTGGGCTCAAGAGATCCACCCAGCTCGGCCTCCCAAAGTGCTGGGATTACAGGTGTGAGCCACCGCTCCTGGCCAAGAATCCTATTTTCTTAAATTTCTTTCAGTGATGATTTGTAGTTTTCACAAGTCCTTGGTTAAATTTATTCCTAGTATTTTATTCTTTTGCCTCCTTTTGTAAATGGAATTGCTTTCTTAATTCCCTCTTTTGATTGTTCAATGCTGCTGTGTAGCAACTGATTTTGTCTGTTGATTTTGTGCTTGGCAACTTGACTGAATTCGTATTTTAACTTTGGTGGGTGTATTTGTGGATTCTTGGGGATTTTCAGTAGGTAGGATCATGTCATCTGCTAATAGAGATAGTTTTACTTTTCCTTTCTGATCTGGATGCCTTTCATTTTGTTTTCTTGCCTAATTACCCTTGCTAGCATATCCAGTATCATGGTGGATGGCAGTGGTGCAGCAGCCATCCTTGTCTTGTTCCTAATCTCAGAGGAAAGCTTTTGACCCTGGGCCATAAAGTATCAAGTCAGCTGTGGGTTTTTGTAGTTGCCCTTTATCAGATTGAGGAAATTCCCTTCTATTCCTAGTTGGTTGAATGTTTTTATCTTGAGATATTAACTTATTTAAAATTTTGCTTTACTTTTTAATATAAAAACTTTGGTGTGTGTGTTTTATTCCAACCAGTGCTGATTCCTAAAGAGAAGCCCCCAATCACAGTTGTGGGTGATGTTGGAGGAAGGATTGCCATCATCGTGGTATGTAGACCTCTTTTATTATTAATTCTAGTATTTGCCGTTGTTATTCTGTTGATTGATTACTTGATTGATTGATTTTGTGACAGTCTCGCTGTCACCCAGGCTGGATTGCAGTGGTGCGTTCTCGGCTCACTGCAACTTCTGCCTCCCAGGTTCAAACGATTCTCTTACCTCAGCCTCCCAAGTTGCTGGAATTACAGGTTCCCGCCACCATGCTTGGCTAATTTTTGTATTTTTAGTAGAGATAGGGTTTCACCATGTTGGCCAGGCTGGTCTCGAGCTCCTGACCTTGTGATCCACCCGCCTTGGCCTCCCAAAGTGCTGGGATTACAGGCATGAGCCACTGCACCTGGCCGCCACTGCATTTAAAAAAGAAAAAATTTTATTTTGAAGTAATTATAGATCCACAGGAAGTACGGGGAAATACACAGGGACCTCCTGTGTATTCATTGCCCAGCATCCTCCATCTTGCTTAACTATGGTACAATAACACAGCCTGGAAATTCTCAGTGCCACAGCCACAGAGGTCCTTCAGACAGCACCAGTTGTGCGTGCAGTGTGTGTGTGTGTGTGTGTGTGTGTGTGCGCGCAGTCTTATCATGGGTAGCTTTGTGGAACCACCACCACAGTCAGGACACAGAATTGCTCCTTCACTGCAGGGCACCCTCATGCTTCCCTTCATAGCTACACCCACATCCTTCCCACCCAATCTGCAACCCCTGGTGTCTTTGTCCATTTTGTGCTGCTGTAACATGTAAGACTAGGTTGTTTATACAGAATAGAAGAAATTTATTCTCTAACAGCTCTAGAGGCTGGATGTCCAAATCATGGCACCAGCATTTGTCTGGTGAGGGCCTTCTTGCTGCATCCTCACATGGCAGAAGGCAGAAGGACAAAAAGGAATGAACTTGTCTTCAGAAGGGCAGGAAAGAGGCGAACCCACTCCCACAAGCCTTTTTATAGCGACATGAATCCATTCCTCACGGCAGAGCCCTCACAACCTGAACACTTCCCCAAAGACCCCACCTCCCAACACTGTTGCACTAGGGAATAAGTTTCCAACACATGAATTTTGGAGAGACAAAAACATTCAAGCCATAGCACTGGCAACCCATGATCTGTCCTCTGTATTTCTAATTATTATTTCAAGAATGTCATATAAATGGAATCTATGGTTTATAACCTTTTGAGTTTTGGTTAACCTGCCATGATTACCCTGAGATCCATCCAGTTTGTTTTGTATATAAATATTTTATTCCTTCTTATTGCTGGGCAGTATCCCATGGCATAGAGGTACCAGAGTTTATTTGTTGGAGGACATTTGGATGATTTCCAGGTTGGAGCTATTATACATAAAGTTCACTACGTACATTCATGTATGGGTTTTTGTGTGAACAGAGTTTTGATTTCTCTGGGGTAATTGCACTTATAAATGCAGTTGTTGGTTTGCATGGTAGTTGCAAATATAGTCTTATAAGAGACTGTCAAACTGTTTGCCAAGGTGGCTGTACCATTTTACTAGTGGTACTTTTTAAGTTGTGTGTGTGTGTGTGTATTTTTGAGGGAGTGTGGTCTGGGTCTGCTGCCCAGGTTGGAGTGCAGTGGCTTGATCACTGCAGCTTCCACCCCCTGAGCTCAAGCAATCCTCCTGCCTCAGCCTCCCAAGTAGCTAGGACTACAGTCCTAGCCTCCCAAGTAGCTAGGACTACAGTACCACCATGCCTGGCTAGTTTTTGTTTTTGTAGAGACTAGGTTTCGCCATGTTGCTCAGGCTGGTCTTGAACGCTTGAGCTCAAGCAATCCTCCCACCTCAGCCTCAGCCTCCCAAAGTGCTGAGACTACAGGTGTGAGCCACCACGCCTAGCCTTTATATGTATATTTTTGATCATAGTAACTTCAGTATGCAATAAAAGAGTAGAAACCACTGAACTGGATATTTTATTATTAAAAACAATAATCATTATTATTTTTTCCATTATAATAACATGTAAAAAGCATATTTCCCATATGCTCAGTGGAGAAAATTTGGAAATAAAGAAGGTAGCAAGAAGCAGCAAGGGGAAAGAGGCAACCATAATTCTATTATCCAGAGTCGAAAACATCTTTTAACACTTTTTCTGTGCATTAAAAACAAAAAAAGAAAATCATATCTCCATCATTTCTGGTGCGATCTGCATTGTGACAGCACAGTGTTGGCCAGTTATGGTTCAGAAAACAGTGCTACCCCTGGGAGCCTGGAGTGTGGTGGGAGATAGCCCGAATAGTGAGTGGCAGGTGCTGTGCAGGAGGAGGCTCGTGTGAAAGTCCTGGAGGGATGCCATGGGGCACGGTGATGGGGACGTGGGGCTGTGCTGTCTGCACAAGGCCAAATGGAAGAGCACATTTTTCGCAATAAATGTAGGCAGACCCTTTTTTTCCCTGGTTGTCTAACCTATTATTGTAGAAGTGCTCGTATACATTCTTTTCCATCTGTGCTTTGACAGGATGACATCATTGATGACGTCGACAGCTTTCTTGCTGCAGCAGAGACCCTGAAGGAAAGAGGTGCATATAAGATCTTTGTGATGGCAACTCATGGCTTGTTGTCTTCTGACGCCCCCCGGCTGATTGAAGAGTCTGCCATTGATGAGGTAACAGGGTCTGGGTGTGTTCGTGAGGACAGCTGCCTGGGCTTCTGGCACATCATGATCTTTAGTTACAGAGAGTAGGGACAAGACTGAAATTGTGGTTAAGAAAGGAATCAAGGGCTGGACATGGTGGTTTATGCCTGTAATCCCAGCACTTTGGGAGGCTGAGACAGGCGGATTACCTGAGGTCAGGAGCCGGAGACCAGCCAACAGGGGGAAATCCCCTCTCTACTAAAAATACAAAAATTAGCCTTGCATGGTGGCGGGCACCTGTAATCCCAGCTACTTGGGAGGCTGAGGCAAGAGAATCGCTTGAACCCAGGGGGCAGTGGCTGCAGTGAGCCGAGATTGTGCCACTGCACTCTAGCCTGGACAACAGAATGAGACTCTGTCTCAAAGTAAATAAATAAATAATAATAGTAATGTATACAACTCATTAGTTTTTAGAATGCTTGGAGTTGTGCAGTCATTACCATAGTTGATTTTAGAACATTTTCTTCTCCCTAGAGAGGAACACCATACCCATTAGCAGTCACTTCACATTTTCTCTCACTGCCATTAGTCCCTGGCAACCACTAATCTGCTTTCTGTCGCTCTAGATTTGCCTGTTCTGGACATTTCTTATTAATGAGATTACACAATGTGTGGTCTTTTGTGCTGGCTTCCTTCACTCAACATAATATTTTCAAGGTTCATCCATGTTGTAGCATGAATCAGTACTTCATTCCATTTTATGATCAAAGAATACTCTGTTACATGGATAGTCCACATTTTGTCTCTCTTTTCATATTTCATGTCGATAGAAATTTTTTCCGCTTTTTAACTTATGCATGGTGCTGCAGTAAACGTTTGTGTACAGGTTTTTGTGTAGACATCTGTTTTCCCTTCTCTTGGATGCGTACGTAGGTTTAGTACTGCTGGGTTGTACAGTAACTTCATGTTGAAACTTTCGAGGAGCTGCCAGACTGTTTTTCAAAGCAGCCGCACCATTTTACATTCCTACAGCAGTGAGTGGGGGGTTCCAGTTTCTCTGCACGCCTCCAATACTTGTTATTATCTTTTTTTGCCATACCTGTCCTAGTGGGTGTGAGGTTATCAAATCTTAACCTAAGAAACACAGGCTGGGCGCAGTGGCTCACGCTTGTAATCCCAGCACTTTGGGAGGCTGAGGCGGGTGGATCACGAGGTCAGGAGATCGAGACCATCCTGGCAAACATGGTAAAACCTTGTCTCTACTCAAAACACAAAAAAATTAGCTGGGCATGGTGGTGGGCGCCTGTAGTCCCAGCTACTTGGGAGGCTGAGGCAGGAGAATGGCATGAACCTGGGAGGCGGAGCTTGCAGTGAGCCGAGATGGCGTCACTGCACTCCAGCCTGGGTGACAGAGCGAGACTCCATCTAAAAAAAAAAATTGAAACATTGACTTGAGACATAGATCCACTGTTTTCCCGTCATGGCGAGCCTCAGATTTGAGAAGCTATCACATTTCCAGACTAAACTATGAAGCTACTTGGCTTTCTGATGCTCTGGTTTTTTTTCTCTTGCTTCACAGGTAGTGGTCACTAATACAATTCCACATGAAGTCCAGAAGCTCCAGTGCCCCAAGATTAAAACCGTGGATATCAGCATGATCCTTTCAGAGGCAATCCGTCGGATCCACAATGGGGAGTCCATGTCCTACCTTTTCAGAAACATAGGCTTAGATGACTGAACAGCTTTCCTTTAGGAAAACTCCCGAGGGCCAAACTGGAAACATAAGAGTGACTGCTTGGTGGGATAGATTTCACAGGAACCATCATGTTTGTTCCTCCCTCTCCCCTGTAACCTCTCTTCTTGTTGATTCCTATGAAGATAGACCAACTTTTTATGTCGGTTTAGGTGTTCGTGAGTTTGGGGAGCCATTTTTATAAAAGAAAAACTTTATTCTCCTCTTTTGAAAAGGTAAGACCTTGTTTTAGTTTTAACTGTTTAAAAAATAACACTTGGAATAAGATTTGTAAGCTCACAGAGTCTTTTTCTGAAGTTGCTTGAGCCAAGTGCTTAAAAAGTTAATAAAATAAACTGATCTGTATGATACCTGCAGTTGAAAAGCCAAAAAGATTATACTGTCAAGTCCAGTAAATGACATTTTTAGAGATGCTTTTGTAGACAAGCATATGGAATATGTGATTGTATTTATTTTCCGCAACTAAAAAAGGAATAAAACTTGTGTTTGTGTGTTTTTCTAAAACTTTGTGTTTTGGCAATCGTTTTATAACTAAAATAAAATGAAAGCTGAATCTACACACTGTGAATGTTGAAATGTTTATCAGCTTGTTTTCTCTTCTGCAGCATTGTGCGGGGATGCAGTAGCCTCCCAGAGATGTGTCATATTCTCTGTTCTGACAATTTGTCCAAGGCCCTGAAAGTTCCCGACGTGTTGTCATTTGACTGAGGAGGGAGAGGAGTTGGAATCTCAGGATGCAAGGCCGCAGGCAGCAGGGGAACCAGTGAGCACCATCTGCCATTGGTCTTGGTGTGGCTTTGCCTCTCTTCCACGGCTGGCTGTTCTCTGTCATGCTCTAGGGAGATGAGATGCTGGGAGATGCGTCCCAAAGGGCAAGTGACATGACCTTTGTTGCTATCAAGGGTCTAAATATCATCTGTCTTTAGCATTTAGGACCCTGAACTTCCCCACAGAGTCCATTGGACTCTCCTCCCCTGGAGCACTGGCACTGGGGTTTACGCCCACCTGTCCTCCCACTCAGCCTGACTTACGAAGGAGAATGTAGACTTGCTCATAAAAACTAATTTTTCTTCCTCCCCAAACACCTTAAACCTTTGCTTTCTGCTTTTCTTGTTAGAATCTGGAATAAAATAGTAGTTTATTTAGCACAAAACTAAGATCAGTCACCAGCCATGCTGGCCTTCCCTGTGCTCCACAGAGAGCAGCATGGCCCGTGGGCTTGCCCCAGTAGGCCAGGGCCTTGTTTGTGCAGAAGCACCAAGGGCTCTGCTTCTGGAAGCTGCCCAAGTATTCCATGGGCTCCTGTACCCCCAGCAGTGCCACCCTCACACCTAGTTTACTTCTGAGGAAACAGCTTTGGGGGAAAGGCGTTCTCTCCCCACGTTTTCAAATCCAGTTAATGATAGAGCTATTTACTTTGAAAAAGTGTCCTTGCTTTCTGTGAACCTGTTCCTAGAAATGGGGCCTCTCGATCTTCGGAATGAATTGGCTTAGGCCATGGGATGGGAGCTGGCGGCTTCTTTGCCAGGGCAGCTCTGTCCGTTGCAGGCTGGAGACCACCCAGTTTCTACATTTGGAAGAAGAGCTTTGGGAGCAAGGTGTCACCACCCATGAGATTGGAGCCTGCCTGTGGTGCCGGGACCTCCCACTGTTGCTGTGAAATGAGCTGAAGAGGCTTCAGTAAGTCTTACAGCTCCAGCCTCTGCTGGGTTTGGGTTTTTTCCTACCTTCTGCTCTTTGGATGCTATCTAACCATTCGCTACTATAGATGACGGTTGAAGTCACCATGTAGTTTGGCTTTATAGCAAGTGACAGGCACTTCCTGAACAGCCATGGGGCGCCCCCTGGGGTGGCTGTGCTGACACAGTGGCCCTCCATGGTTTGGGAATGGCGGTGCCGCACTAGCAGGGAGGACGGGTTCTGCTCTGGGTTCCTTGGAGATGCAGTGGACTCTCAAGCTCCTTCAGTGGGAGGTTTCCTCCTGCCACTGTGTCCAGGGAACTTTGACCTCCGTGGTTTTTCCTGGCATGTCATCCTTCATGAAGAAAAGTCATATTTGCAGAAGTGAATGGAAACATGTTTTATGGGAGTGTTTTCCTCTGGGTAATGAACTTGGCTAAAGCTAGGATCCTTCACACCCACAGAGACTCGAAGGTCTGCTCTGAGTTAGCTCTGGAAGAACGTGAAGATGAGTGCCGGGAGGAGCCACGGGCAGGGCATGTGCCAGGGGATGGCTGACAGAGGGCTGAGGCCAGGAAAGACAATTGGCAGATGATGGTGGGGGAGAGTGGAGTGCCACGTCCTGGTCCGCTGGGCTGGGGCAGGAGGATGGAGGCCCTCAAGGGGCAAGTCAGGTGCTCAGTAAGGACACCCAGACCTCTCAGCCACCCCCTTCCCTGTCTAGAGGAGGCCCCGGATACAGTTTCTCCATGTATTGTAGGCTTTTCTTTGGCCAAAGAAGCCATTTACCCTCTAGACTACTGTCTTTGCTAGAGACAGAGACAGTCTCTGTGGCCAAAGATAATGGTGAAGTGAACCCAGAAATTCTATGACAGAAAACAGGCTAATCGTTTCCAGTTCTGACTGTGACGTCATCGCTTGACAGATGTGGTTAGAGCAATGCTCTCGAGGCATCAAGAGCACACAGGATGCCACCAAAGGGCATGAGTGGATGGACAAATACCAGTTCCACCACACTGGCACATTAATCTTTTGGCTCTCACTGTTTATTACCTCTAAGGCTGAGGAGGGAGGATTGCTTGAACCCGGGAGGTGGAGGTTGCAGTGAGCCGAGATCATGCCGCTGCACTCCAACCTGGGCAACAGAGCAAGACCCCGTCTCAAAAAAAAGTTGTAGAATTCAACACCTACTTTTAACAGATCAACCAGACAAAAGATCAATAAGGAAAGAGATCACACCACTGTACTCCATGCTGGTGACAGAGTGAGACTGTCTCAAGAAAAAAAAAAAGCTGAAATGCTAAATTTTATGTTGTATGTATTGTGTACTTTATAAAACATTGTTGGAAGAAATTAAAGACGACCTAAATAGGAAGACATCCCACGATCACGGGTTGGAAGTCTTAATATCATTAAGATGCAATACTCCAGATCAATCTACAGATTCAGTGTAATATCTATCAAAATCCCCAATGGCATTTTTTGGCAGCTATAGAAAAGCCCATCCTAAAATTCATATGGAATCACCGAGGACCTCAAATAGCCAAACAGTTTGAAAAAGAACGAAGTTTGAGGACTTGCACTTCTTGATTTCAGAACTTACTACAAAGCTATACTAATCAAAAACAGTGTAGTTCTGGCATAAGGAGAGGCATAGAAGTCAATGGAGTAGAATCAAGAGTTCAGAAATAAACACTTTATCTCTAGTTAATTGATTTTCGACAAAGTTGCCAAGATCTCTCAGCAGGAAAAATAATGGTGATTTTTTTGGGGGGGGGGTTCTTTTTCATTTTGTTTTGTTTTGTTTTTTTGAGATGGAGTCTCACTCTGTTGCCCAGGCTGGAGTGCAGTGGCACGATCTCAGCTTACTGGCACTATCTCGGCTCACTGCAACCTCTGCTTCCCGGGTTCAAGCAATTCTTGTACTTCAGCCTTCCAAGTAGCTAGCTGTGTCTGCAGGCACACACCACCATGCCTGTATATATACACACACACATATATATATATATAGTTTTCTTTTTTTTGAGACTGAGTCTCACTCTGTCGTCCAGGCTGGAGTGCAGTGGCGCAATCTTGGCTCACTGCAACCTCCACCTCCCAGGTTCAAGCAATTCTCCTGCCTCAGCCTCCTGAGTAGCTAGGATTACAGGCATGCGCCACCACACCCGGCCAATTTTTGTATTTTTAGTAGAGATGGGGTTTCACCATGTTGGTGAGGCTGTTCTCGAACTCCTGACCTTGTGATCCGCCTGCCTCAGCCTCCCAAAGTGCTGGGATTACAGGCGTGAGCCAGCATGCCCGGCCCAAAAACATTTTTTAAATAGGATTTGAATAGGCATTCCCACAAAGAAGGATATACAAAAAGATATACAGGCCGGGTGTGGTGGCTCACGCCTGTAATCCCAGCATTTTGAGAGGCCGTGGGTGAATCACTTGATGCCAAGAATTTGAGACCAGCCTGGCCAATGTGGAAAAGCCCCATCTCTACTAAAAATACAAAAATTAGCTAAGCATGGTGGTGCACGCCTGTAATTGAATGGCTGAGACACAAGAATCGCTTGAACCCAGGAGGCGGAGGTTGTAGTGAGCCGAGATTATGCCAAGACACGGTAACTCAGTTTCAAAAAAAAAAAAAAAAAAAAAAGATATACAGGCATTCATACAAAAAATACATCTAAATGGAAAGATGCTCAGCATCATTAGTCATTATAGGTAGTATAAACAAAAACCACAATGAGATACCACTTGATACCCATTTGAATGGTTGTACTACAAAACAAAACCAGAAATAACAAGTGTCGGCACCAGTTGCAGTGCTGCACACCTGTAGTCCCAACTACTCGGGAGGCTGAGGTGGGAAGATCACTTGAGCCCAGGAGACTGAGACCAGCCTGGGCAACATAGTGAGACCCTGCCTTGTAAAACAAACTAACAAACAAAAACAAGTATTGGCAAGAATATGGAAAAATTGGAGCCCTTGTACATACACTGCTGGTGGAAAGGGAAAATGATGAAGCTGCTGTGGAAAACAGTCTGACGGTTCCTCAAAAAATTAAACATAAAATTACCAGATGACCCAGCAATTCTGCTCCTGGGTATATTCCAAAAAACATTACAAACATACCCAAATAAGTACATGGACATATATGTTCAGATGTACTGTTCACCATCACCAAGTTGTGCAATCCCAAATGTCCATCAATGGATCAATAAACAAATCTTAGTATTTAATGCCTGTAATCCTAATACTTTGAGAGGCCAATGCACACGGATCACTTGAGTTCAGGAGTTCAAGACCAGCCTAGACAACATGGTTGAAACCTCGTCTCTACCAAAAAAAAAAAAAATTAGCCAGGTGTGGTGGCACCAACCTGTAGCCAGCTACTTGGGAGGCTGAAATGGGAGAATCACTTGAAGCTGGGAGGCAGAGGTCGCAGTGAGCCAAAATAGCACCACTGCACGCCAGCCTGAGCGACAGTGAGACCTTGTCTCAAAAAAAAAAAAAAAAAAAGTATTTACATAGAATAAAAAGAAATAGATTACTGTGTGAGTTACAATGTGCATAAGCCTCTAAAACATTATGCTAAGTGAAATTAACCTGACACAGAAGGTCATATATTGTGTGATTCCATTTATATAAAATGTCCAGAATAGCCAAATCCCTAAAAACAGAAAGCAGATACGTAGTTACCAGGGGATGAGTAGATAGACATGTAGCTGATGTAGTTATCCAGGGAAGTGGTCCCCAGCCTTTTTGGCACCAGGGGCTGGTTTTATGGAAGACAATTTTTCCACAGATTGGGACAACCGGTGGGGGATGGTTTGGGGATGAAACTGCTCCACGTCAGATCATCAGGCATTAGATTCTTATAAGGAG